ATCACACCACTGCAACGCCAGCAGCCTGGATGAATCCTTGCTTGTTGTTTATGCCGAATGACCCTACCATGCGAATGTTGCAGCAGAAATTGAGGCAGATCAAATGAGGCAACATTTTCTAGTCTTCCGTTGTCCAGTGTTGGTGAGGCTGTGAACTCTAGCTTCAGTTTCCTGACTTAGCTGACAGGAGTGGCACCTGGTGTGGTCTTCTGCCGCGGTAGTTCATCTGTTTCAGGATTCAATTTGTGGTGCATTCAGGGATGCTCTTCTGCATATACTGGTTGTAATGAGTGGTCATTTGAGCTAATGTTGCTTTGCTATCAGCTCAAAGCAGTCTGACTATTCTCCTCTGACCTGTAGGATCATTTTTATCCAGAGACCTGGTGCTCACTGGACATTTTCGTGTTTTCAGGCTGTTCTTTGTAAACACTAGAGATTGTTGTGTGGGAAGATCAGCAGTTTCTGAAATACTCAAACCAGCCCGCCTGGAACCAACAACCACGCCAATTTCAAAGCGACTTAAATCAACTTTCTTCCCCATTCTGATGCTCGGTTTGAACTTCAGCAGGTGATTCATTGGATAATTTTCTGAACAAACAGCTGAACAGCTGTAAAAAGTGGCCAGTGAGTGTTTAGAGTTTTACGAAAGTCTGCTAATCCCTATTTCTTAATCCGAGAACATCAATAAGTCAAAATGAAGTGGTTTTATTTCAGGATATCGATCCTGTGATAAAACTAAACTGTTTGGACATCTCTGCATGTCTTCTGTGTACACCCGCACTGCATAATGGATGTGCATATGATTTACTTCTCTAATAACTAAAACACTGCGTCTGTTTGCAGGGGCGTACTCCTCAGTGCAACTCCTGTGGATAATTTTTCAATGAGAGATATTCAAATTCTGTTTGTGCCAAAAGTGTCAGTATCCTCTGTTAGCAGGGGTGTAAACAGGATGTAAAACAACACACTGGAGTTCAGTGACATGGGAGACAGGGGTAGGAGACTGGCTCTTTCAGCTGTTCGACTCAGGGTACACATCAGGAACACAAACATGTGTTTAAGGATTAATTAAAAGGCTTTATTTTCCCTCTCAACGAGTCTTTGTGTTAAAATTTCAAATGAGCATTAAAAAAACGATTTCCTGTTATTTGCCTGAACATGAAAGCGCTCACTGATTAATAAAGGGTGATTCATGAAACAACACAACAGCTTTGTTGCAAATTGGTTTATCATACACTCACGCGCCCATTAGCAAGTGCCCCAAACAGTTACTTGGAGCCAGTTCGAACAAAGGCAAGGAAAATGATCAGTGCCTGAAGTCGGGTCCAAGAACTGAGACTAAGATTAATGACTGAAAACTTGAATAGGCTTTGTTTGGACAAATGAATTCATGGCAGGCTCAGTGAATGCAAGCCCTGTGTGATGTCTGTAGGCTCAGACTGTTAAATATACTCACTGGCAGCCAGGTTTCTCATTATAAATGCTGTCCATGGTTTATCCCAGTTGCTTTAATTCAAGATTAGAAAGCTGTGATTGCTATCCCGACTCATCGTAGCTTAAACTCTGCTTAAACTATCTCAGAAATGTAAACACTGGCTCTCCAGAAGTTGTCTGCTGATAAGCACTTTACTCACAAAGGACCTGTTTTTGCGAAAGAAATCAAACATCTGAGCAACAACGTCCTGCATCAAACGTTTCTCGGCAGAAAGAGATAAACACAAAAGGTCATTCATCTCTCCCGAGCACGCCTGAAGCCACACACCTCTGCTTTGCACTTTGAGCTGAATCACATGGAGTTTGATTGAAATCAGCTTTTAAATATATATTTATTTGCATCTGATTACATTGCAAGCCCTGGGTGCAAAACATAAAATACTTCTTTTCATTTTCTCATGTTGACATCTTAGGTGAAACTTTAATAAAAATACATGCTGATCCCCACGAGGTATTAGACCGGCGAACTAAGCGCCGTATCTGTGGCGGTTAAATGAGTCATTATGCGGTTTTAGATACACTTATGTCAGATGCATTAAGGAGTAGAACTGTGAGTAAGAGTGCATTTCGTTGGCAGAGGCTGAGGTTAAGCTCTGTGTTAGGCAGACTCTGGATACATTATTCAGTGTCTGTCTTACCACTTAAACCAACTTATCTGAGAATGGGAGTCCACATTTGCACTTTAGCGCAAACTAAGACAGCACACTTCTTTCACTCTGTCACTCATTAGCCGAGGGTTTTTCAAACTGGCTTGCAGCTTTGTTCTTAATTTTGGTGACTGAAATATCGTTAGACTTCTAAAGGAAATTTAGCACATGAATCTGTGCGTTTGAAAAATCGGCAAGACCGAGGCCTAATCATTTCTGAGTGTCTATGTTAGAGCTCAAGCCACAAGTTCCTAAGGGATCCATGTGATTTGAGCGTTTAGGCTCAAATTAGGATTAAAAGTTCAAATCAAACACTGCATCCTCTCACATTGTCTTCCGCTTCTCTTTAGAGTTCACTACAGGGGGTGATCTGCCTCCATCTCACCCTATCCCTGTCAACTGTAACAACAGCTCTCCCTGCAGCATCCATAAACCTCCGCTGTGGTCTTTTCCTGCTGCTGGGCAGCTTTAGCTTCAACATCCTTTGTCCAATATATCCACTATCCCTCCTCTGCACATATCCAAACCACCTCAGCCTTGCCTCTCTCGTTTCTAATTCTACAATTTTGGTCACTTGCATCAAAAATCTTAACATCTTCGATTCCAATTCAGCCTCGTGTCTTTTTGTCAGTGCCAGTGTCTCCAAACCATACATCATAGCTGGTCTTGCCATCATCTTGTAAACCTCCCTTTTCACTCTTGCCGCTATCCTTCTGTCACAAATCGCCCCTGACAGTCGTCTCCACCCACTCCACCCTGCCCGCACTCTCCTCTTCACCTCTCTCATGAACTGTCCGTTGCTTTGGATGGTTGAACCCAGCCATTTAAAGGCATCCACCTTTACTATCTCTGATCCTTGCATCCTTTGCATTTCCACCAACCTCACCTGCATTCTCTTTTTTAAAACGTGAGAAACACGAGGAGACGGTTAGTGAGCAAAAATTCACTTTGACGTTATTCTCTGCGCCCTGCTTTTCCTTCACAACACCAGATCAGGGTCGATGTATTTCGCTCACTTCCTTGCACAGATGTTGCGTTACAGGCGGCATATTACAGTAGTTTATAATTAAAGACCTTGGGAGGCTATTCCCGTGAATACTCTGGAGGTCCACACACATCCTGAGTGAGAGTTCCTGCCCCGAGGAGAGTCAGTCCGTGGGTGCACTATGCAAAAACCAGACGTTCAGAAGTGATGAATTATCAAACCGGCAGGTGGTTGGATCCTCACCGTGGAGAAGATTCATTTCTCCTTTATTTTACATTCAAGTCATGGGTGGTGATCAGTTAATTAGCGACTATCAGCATGCCTGCACCAGTGATGGACGTTTTGTAGCCTGCAGAAACAGACGTCTTAATGGAAGTCGCTTCGCTGCACAGCGAAAGATTTCCAAAGCCACTTGTGTGTGATACATTATGAAGGAGAAGCTTCAAGGCTTAACCCCAAAGTTCTTGTTTAAGAAACATGTTGGTATCATTGTCTCATAAACTATTCAACAGTATAGTGGGGGAGAAAATACCATATTCACTTACGGAAACATGATTTTGGCTCCTGAGGTAGTTCGGTAAATATTTAATGACAGAGCAGAGCTGTGACTTAGTGCCTGCCAGCAGATGTGTGAGCTTTGCTTTAAAACAAACATATGACAAACGCCCGTTTATCATCAGTTACTTTTGGTATGACTTTACTGCACTGCTCTCAGTGATGTGCTTTTTATTTCTTCCGTGCGTTACGTGATCGTTACTTGGTCAGAAATTTCAGCTGGTTTAAATCTTTTTTATTTCTTACACATCCTTTATATTGCATTTCACAGCAAAAGCCTTGAGTGTACCAAAACTTCTATAATCCATTATTCTGTGGATTCTTGCCAAAGGAAAGACAGAAAGGTGCGTTCAGGTGAGGGGAGTAGTGTGGGGAGAAGAGAAACGCTTCCAGTGGAGTCCAAGCTCGTGTCGCATGTCAGATGAGTCACACACAGTGCTAAGTAATTTTAATTTTTTCTGCAAAAAGATACAATACTGTATCTTTTAAATATAGTAATATTCAAAGGTAGTCTTTAAGGATGTGAAAGATCACTGGTAGCACGTATAATGTGTTTACGTGTGGTATTTCTCATCTCTTTATCTTTTTGAAAGATCACAATTCTTTCAAACTTGACGTGAAAAGAAACTCAGAACAGAGGAAGAGGCAAACATTTCTGGCAATGCCTCTAACATGACATGACTTCTGAAGGGCAGTTTCTCTAATGACAAACCGTCTGTGCACACCTGTGGACCCGTAACTCTGAGTGCATTCACAAGTCAGGATTTCACTGAATGCTGTGTTTCAGTGAAAATCTGAGAATGTGACAAGAAAGGTTTTAATGATGCTTACATGTCTACCTCCACCTTTCACTGCATATATCCAAGTGCTGGAGACTGAAACTAAAACATAATTTCAACATTATTAAAAATAAATGGCCTCTTCTACTTAGATTACAGCCAGATATGGCTCCAGAAATGAAGGTCAAGGTTAAATGCTTAGCCAGCCTTTGTACTCTCGTCCTCCAAGGCCTGGTATATTGTTTAGAAGTTTGAAGAGAATCATATAAAGTTTTACTGATTTTCACATTTATTGTGACCTTGACCCAATTTTCACAAAAATGAAATCAGGTCAAACTGTTATTGGCATCTACCGTAACACAAAATTTGAACAACATATCTTGAGAACTGTGAATGCCAGACAGCTAACAAACACACCTTTTTCTTCAGAGGGGGAAACAAAACCACCTCCAAACATCTTGAACTAAAATTATATCCGAATTTCTCGATAGTCACGCTCTGATAAAGACGCAGTTTAACGCAGGCTTTGGAAATGGCAAATACGGTATTTAAAAGCAAACTTTATTCAAATATTTTACATTTTTACCAACATTTTCTTTCAGTTTTATTTCCTAGAATCATAAACTGAAGTAAGTCTTAGGAAAAAAAAATTACAGCCAATTTTCTATTTACATTTTCACAATGCATCAGTTTACAGTTTCAACTAACATTCTGGTGAAGTACAGAACCGCAGGCTGCGCAGTCAGATTCTTGATGGCGTATGCATGTCCTGTAAGAAGAGAACAGTAACTGTAAGAAACAAAAAAAGCATCAAAAATATGTGCCTTTATCACTAAACCATGTTAAAGATCTATTATGTATTTGCAAACGTTTTTATGATGAGATCTTACAGTAAATGTAAATATTCTTACCAGACTCCACCACAAAAGATTTTCCAGGACTGAAGCATGACTCACAGCCATCGATGGTCACACTCACTGAGCTGGTTAGTAAGTTAAAAACCTTTAAAAAGACAGAAATAAATAATGGAAATACTTTAGGACTGTTGTATAAGAGGCCTAGTTACTGCATAATTATATGCAAGAAACAGAATAAAGTAGTACTCACTGTTGTAGCACTGTGGTCCACCCAGAGAGGCTTCTTCATGAGGGATCCCAGCAGCAGCTTTCCACTACAGAAGGAGTTGGTGCTCACGTCCTCTTGGAGGCCCATAGCTCTGTCTTGATAGAAGTACCAGTCAAACTGGTCTGGAGTGACACCAGGATCGCCTACAGTAATACAAAGAAGACATAAGGATCATTAGATGACATAACTTTATTTATTGAAAATGTCTTGTCTACATTAAAAAGAAAGCAAACCAAATTAGACACATAAATGCTTTGAGTTTTTTGATGCAGGCATTTTAAGTATTTTATTTTGATCCTAACTGACAATAAAGAGAAAATTAATAAAAGACGTGATGATCGATCTGTCCAGTTAGGAAGGATAAACTACTGTGAATCCTTTTCAGCTGTTTTGGTGCAAGTGAAAGTGACAACAGGTGCACTGGAGCGGCCACAACATGGTTTTAACAGGTGTTTGCCATGGACCACTGCTTTCTCCTTATCCCTGCTGACTGATTGTTCTCAGTTTGGCTTTTTGCTTGTGTTTTTGTTCCTGCTGGTAACATGAGATGATGCCTCTAGCCCAGGGTGGGCAATCTCAGTCCACGAGGGCTGGTGTCCCTGCAGGTTTTAGATGTGTTCTCGAACCAATACAGCTGATTTAAATGGCTAAATTAGCTCCTCAACATGTCCTGAAGTTCTCCAGAGGCCTGGTAACGAACTAATCATGTGATTCAGGTGTGTTGACCCAAGGTGAGATCTAAAACCTGCAGGGACACCGGCCCTCGTGGACTGAGATTGCCCACCCCTGCTCTAGCCCATTCTGTTTGCACAAGTACTGTAGTTCAGCTCCTCCAGGATGGCACATTCATATGTGTCGTTACAAGAAGGCTTGTCGTGTCTCCCAGCAGAGTCTAAAGAGCGTGGACGAGATAACAGATGGGCCGTTACAGGAGAAGAGCCGAATAGGGCCATAGAAGGTCATCAGCCCTGCAGCAGAACGGATATTGACTCCTTTGTGCAGGGAGACGGATGGCTGCAAATGTCCCCACAAAATGACCAAACTGTCAGAAAAAGACTCCATGAGCATAGCTGAGGGTCCTTTAGTGGGACCTTTGCTCATAGCTCTGCACCGTGCAGCTCAACTGGCATTTGCCAGTGATATATCTCCCCATATACCATCGCTGACCCACGGTCAAACCAGTCATGCAGGGTGATTTTGAAGGCAGCATAACATTTGCTACAAACGGTTGTCTTGAGACTCTTTCACATCTGTCACATGTACTCAGTGTGGCCCTGTGCTCATGTGCTCATCTGTGAAAAGAGAGGCCAGTGGCGGTTCTGCCTGTTCTGGCGTCCTCTGGCGAATGCCAATTGAGCTGCGCAGTGTTGAGCTGTGAGCAGGAGTCCCACGAAAGGAAGTTAGGCCCTCATGGCATGCTCATGCAGTCTGCTGCTGACAGCTTGGTCAGAAACATGCACATGAATCGCCCACTCAAGGCCATTTTGTAGACCTCTGGCAGCGCTCCTCATGTTCTTCCTAAAACAAAGGAGCAGATGCTGCTCCTGCTCTGTTGATCCCCTTCTACGTGCTTGTTCAGGAGTCCTCGGTTAATGACCCCTGTCACGGCATCTTCTCCACAGTCTTGAGACTGTGCTGGGAAACCTAGCAAACCGTCTTGTGATACGCTGTCCTGGAGGAGTTGGACTACCTGTGCAACCTGAATGGACTGCAGACACTGTAGCCAATCTGCTTTACAAACAGCACAAACCACATTTATGACCAAACAGTTTATTTTATTTAACAGTGTAAAAGACAACAGACATTTAAACACCTGTATCTGTGAAGTCAGTGCAAAAACAACATTTGGAAATTATTTTTTCTTATTTTTTCTCTTTTCTTTCTTAGAATTTTCTTACCTTCTGGTGTAGCCAACCAGAGGCTCCTAAACCACTCAGCCAGGTTGGCCATATCCTTCCGCTGTAAGATCAGCGGCTTGAGGGGAGGGGCACAAAGATCTGAAGCAGAGAGCAGAACTGTGCTCCTGGATGACGGCAAAACTGGAACATAATAAAAATAAAACGCAGATATTTATAATGAAAAAATAAGGTTTTTTTAAACCATTCGGGCACGCACCCAAACAGTGATCACACTTTCAGATATTTATCATTTATATTCAAGCCAACTGAGGTTAACAAGGACGACCATTTTAGGGCTGTAAATATTGCAGTATGAATGCTCGTATTGCCAGCCTGACAGACGAAAATGTCAAATGTGACGGATTCATTTCATTAATTCAAGACTGAACTCACAGTGACACACACTGATTCATCCACAACAAACACTAGATTAGGCTTCAGCCGGCTATACTACTATTTAACAACAAAGGAAAAGCTTCAGCACTTTTAAATTCCTCCTCTAATGATTCTGAATCCTTTCAAAACCATTTCTGAGTCTCTTTATCTGTTTGGTAGTTTGTGGGACTGACAGTTTTTTTCCTAGTTGGTCTGACATTGAAAATCATTGTGAAAAACAATTCTGCTCTCAGTTATTTACTTATTCATCCAGGTTTTAAAACGTGCCAGTGCCCCAAGTTCCCGCTTCAATTACTGATACTATAATATTTGTAGAAAAGGACCGTCCACAAACACTGCACTTTATAGTGGTTTATCTGACTGTCTGCAGATGCCTGCAGTATCAGAAACACTGAGAGGCTAGGAGAGATTATGAATGAAATATCAGATGATCACAGAGCTTAATGGTTCTGGGCATGTCACCAGCTTGAAGTCTGACCCAAAATGGAAAGAATTTCAGGGCCTTGAGACTTATAAAAAACAATAAACTGCCTTTTTTTTAAATTAGCAAAATACTTAAAGGGGTTTTGATTTCAAAACAAGCCAATAACATTAAATCCTTGTTGATTAGATTTCTTTCTCATGTAAAGTAAAAGCATTTTAATGACTTCAGCTCATCCCGTCTCGTTTTTACTACGAGTGAAGCAGCCAGTGTTTGACACTTTATACTTTTCTTTACACTTTATTAAATGTTATAGTGAAGCTTTCTTTTCAGAGAATTGTGTAAAATGTTCTTTGAAAGATGAAACTGTTGGAAAATGTTTTAATGTAATTTAAAACCCACTTATGCTGTCAGCGTCTTCATAGTCTTCCAGCTCAATCATGGAGGACGGTCCACTCCTGTGGACTTGTGACCTGCCGATAAAAGATGAACGACAGTCAGAAATATACTGAAAATATAATAAAGACAGAGGTTAAGAGTAATTCAGGCTTTTCCTTGCATGTCATGTAGCTGATACCTGCTGTCTCGTGTGGTCTCCTGGTTGTCTGGGCTGTTGTCAGCTGCATGAGTGTTACTGCCTGCTACACAGATTTCCTCAGACGGACGTGATCTGACATTACATCTGTTAGTCTGACGTCTGTCCACAGTCGAAGACTCTATGACTGAAGCAAAAATGTCTCTAAATGTTGCCAGAGAGCGTTTGACAGTCTTAGGAGTGATCGGTGACTTTGCTGTCAAAGGAGGCACTGGAGCTCCTCCTAGAGGTTTTAATGAGACTGCCGTGTTGCCATTTTTGGGAACACCGAGTCTGGGAGATTTGCTCTGTTTAGACTGTTTCTTCCTTTCTTTTTAGGTTCGGGCCTCTTGGGATGAAGCTGCTGAGGCTTTGAGGACACGTTCTCCAAATCTTCAGCTACGTTGTTGACAAGCCACCAATCGCCCGGGGCTCTCCTTCTCCGTTTGGCTGAATCTGCTTCCGTGAGCCGCTCCTTAGGTCGACTTTGCGACACGGGCGCTTTTGGTGTGGCTGACAGTTTTCCAGTAGAATCGTGCTGATATACTTTCTGAAATATCTTATTTCCTGTAACAAAAAGCACATTTCCTTTCCATTCTTTGCTACTTAATATTTCACACCAACTAGGAGGCAAACAAGGAGCACTCTGAGAGCGCAAACATTTAAGAGAATACTTTAGTTTTACTTTTAAGTTAACAGTTTTATATATCGCACTTTTATTTTGTTTGTGCTTTATGAGTACAATAAAAGCAAGTGCAAAGTACAGCCTTTTTTCATTTGCCCTGGTGAACCTCATTTTAATATACCGGACACAATTTTTTTTTCTTTATGTGTAGCATTCATTTCACTGTTTAGTAAGTTACATTTGTGTTAAGTTTTAAGCAATAAAAAGAAAAGTTTCTGATCCCAAGTTTATCGTGTCTCCTTATTTTGCCAATTCTAGACAAATAAATCATTGAGTTGACCTTGAAGAGCTTGGTGGATCTAAGCCAAATTTTAATGACTTGTTAACACTATCACAGTATTAACTCATAGCCAACAAGATTTACCTATTTTACTTTGGAAGGCTAAACTACCTGTCAAGACATCTGTTAAAAGTCGATCCAACACAAAAGGCCAAATTCTCTTTATCTACACATGCATCAGTACTAAGAGTCCAATAGCACAATATATAAAACATCAGTCACAGAAACTCCTCTGTAGTACTGGCACTTTTACCTTGACCTTACCTGAGTTAAGGCTGTGGTCCCTCTGAGTAAAGACCAAAGGGCTAGACTCCTGGTCCAATTCTTGATCCGGGACCTCCTGCTGCTCCGGCTCGTCGGCAAGCTCCGGCTCAGCCGTTACTAAATCTTTATCAATTGCTTTCATCTTGTCTAACTTTTCTCCTTGTTTATTTCCTTTTTCGCTCTGTTTTGTTTTCCTTTTTTAAACTCACTCGTCTCCTGACTGGGCAACACTTTAAGCCGTTTCTGATTTCTTTTCTTTGAGGCTTTGTCTTTCTTTGCTTTTGCAGGTGAAGGAACTGCTTCGCTGGAGTCTTTAGGTTTCTGTTTGGACTTCTTTTGCGTGGCCTGCTGGCTGTTGTCCGCTTCCTCTGTGCTCTGAGGGCAACTCAACCACCACTCTCCTGTCGATTTCCTTTTCCTTTTCCCGAGAACCTGACAGTCTTCAGATGAAGTCCCTTTAGAAACAACTGACTGGTTGTTTTGTTTCACCTGTCCGTCTGTTTCACAATTCATAGCTTCTTTGTCTAAAGGGATCAAAGGAAAAACATATATAAAGTAAGCAAAGTAATTTTAAGTGAATGAAGGAAAAAATTGTTGCAATTCCAAAAATTAACATGTTTTGATGATAAAGATCAAAACTTTAATCAAACTTCAAAGGTTAAGATCACATAAGATGACAATAGCTAGCACAAATATTCAACAACCAATTATAGAAGAGTTTTTAGGAAGTACAAAGGACTCACCAACAGTAGAAACTATGTCTTCAGTATCTCTGTGCTTGTCACTGGTCTGCTCATCAACATCCTTAACAGTAGGTTCTCCCTGCAGCTCTTTCCTGCTCGCCTTTAACGAGTCAGCCTTCTGTGTCTTGGTATTTTCTTTACCATCTTTTGAAGACTTTTGTTTCTTTGTTTCAGCAGACTTACTTGCTTTCCTTTCTGTTTTCTTAGAGGGTTTCGCTTTTTCTGTTTTGCGACTCGTTGTGTCTTCAGGCTGATCTTCTGCTTCATCACTCTCCTTTGACAAAGTTTTCTTGAGCTGCTTCTTCTTTTTTACTGGCTCTTCTTGAACCAATAAGTCACCCGCAGGAGCATCTTGAGGAGCAGGAAGCTTATTTTCCTCATTTCTAGGCCCAGTCTCCTCACTGTTCTTCTCTTTCTTCGTTTTCTTCTTAATTTTCTGATCAACAGGCTGATCTTCCAATTTACTTTTTGACTTTTCTTTTTCCTGCTGTGGCTCTGGCATCTCCAGTGATCTATCCTTTGTCCTCTTATCTGAGCTGTCTTTGTCTGTGCTGGGAATTCTGCTGTGACTTTGTTTCTTACTGGCAGCACTTTTACTTGGGATGGAAAACCACAGAGGTGTATCATCTTCTAGGATCATAAAATCATCCTCTGGTTCAGGGGGAGGAGTGGGTACTTTGACTTGTTTCTTCCCAGAACTTAAAAAAAAAGATAAATACATATAATTAATTTTTTTAGGAAAGAATGTGACTGAGGCCACGTGGTATTATGTGATCAGTGTTGGGGAGTAATGGAATACATTTAACAATGTTACATATTTAAAATACAAAATATGAGCAACTGTATTCCGTTACAGTTACTGTTTAAAAAGGTGGTATTCAGAATACAGTTACTTTGTTGAAATAAATGGATTACATGGCAGTCTTTTCCTGTTTCATATGTTAGGCTATGCCCTCTCTATTTTTGGTAATTCCACGCCAGTGGAAACCCAAACAAAACACGCATTAAGAGGCTCTGTGTCACCGAGCAGAAACGGGAGCTGGAAGCATGTAAATATAATAATAACCACTGCAGCCAAAAGAGTGCCTGACGAGCCCAGCTGTGAGTAAGCTATTAAGACTCGACTGTACACCGTGTTCGTGTTTTCCTCTGAAACAATAAGTTCCGTTGGAGCAGGCTTTCAATGCCTCTCTCTGTCTCTCGCTAGCAAAGTTGACCCAGACAACAAAGTAAAGCTAGTTTTCAGTTACGAGCCCGACACAGAACCCGACGTATTAACCAGAGGTCCCTTTACTATGGTTTGGAGCCGCAGACCTGTTTTCTATACGCGTGAAACAGTTTTAATACGAGATCACTGCAAAAAGTGCAGCCTTACCTAATGTCCACCTACTGTTACTTATTTATATTAAGATTTAAAAATCTAGTTGGTATTAGTATGATGAATAACCTTCAGTAAAAGTAACAAATCCCACAGCAATAGTACATTCATGTAGTTGCAAAAAGCATGATAATATATTAAGTATTCCAAAGTATTCAGAATACGTTACTGTCATTGAGAGACATAACAGAAAACGTTACAAAATACATTTTGGGGCATGTAATCTGTAGTGGAATACATTTTAAAAGCAACGTTCCAAGCACTGTATGTCATGCAGACATGTTTACGTAGACAAGTTATAAAGGTGTCCTCTGATCTCAACTCACCTGAAAGGTTTTGACTGTGCTGCATGTTTCAGTTTCTGCAGAAAAGCTGTCATATCTTTTCCCGCTCGTGTGGATGCCACAGGAGCTGCGACTTCAGGCTTCCGGCTCACTGTTTGAACAGCTGGCTGTGTGCTTTCTTGACTCCTGTAAACAAAGAAGACATAAAATGTGACTGAAATAATCAAAACGTTTTCAAGAGCGACCAGAAACACTTCCCTATCTTTTTGAATCGTTGTTCCTGCCTCCACTGATCAAAATGAAGCGTATCACCAATACAGTATGTTTGATGTGCTATATAATCCCGTAGCCTATAAATATTGTTCATCTTTGATTACTGTTGTGCAGTATTGCTGTGTATGTTCGTTTAATTGGGGAATTTTTTTTAAGTAGAAAAGGGCAAATGGCAGATGGCAAAAAACTAAAATATCTTGTACAATTAATGGTCTCATATGGTCACATTTATAGCATCAAAGTCTCTTCCTCCTGAAAAAACACCCAACGAGGTATTTAAATGAAAAGCAACCTTACCCTTGTAATTCAATCTCCTTCTTGTGGCCAGATATCTTTGTTAAATCAATCTTGCTTGGGGGAGACTCCAATCCAGACTCGCCGTTCCTAGAGAACAGGATTAGTGAAAGATTTGTGGAAAATAAAAAAATAAAAACATGAAAAATTGTAGAGGCAACATTTCCTGCTAGGAACTAAGTATGAATTTCCGTACTCCTCTGTGACTTGTCCATTACACTGGGATTCTGGGTGGGTAGAGAGTCTTTCTTCACCTCTTCTATTCCTTCATATTCACACATAAAAAGAATTGGGGACACAACTTGTGCTTTTTCATCGTCCTGCTTTTCTTCTTCAGCAGCCAAACTTTGTTCTGCTGGACTGGAAGTCTTTACTGGGTGATGTCCTTTAAAGGGGATGTCCAAATCTGCAACAAGAAAAAGCCCAGTCCTAAACAATTCATTTATTTCCCACCTGTGGGACTAATAAAGGTCATCTTACCTTATCTTATCTTAATTTAAAAAAAAAAAAAAAAAACAAACAAACAAAGAAACAAACAACAACAAAAAAAAACACACACACAAGGCATATATTTTCATTATGAACACAAATTTGAGTGTCTTACCGATATCCAGTTCAGTACTTGCAGGATGCAAGACATCTCCATCATCTCCCTGAAGAAATTCAAAATTGTGAATTAAAATAATGAACACAAATTACCAAAAATATTGTCTTGTTCAAAAAAGGACTCACGGCTGAGCCAGTAAACAAGAATTCATTAGAAAGTGTCTTTGTTTTAATAGCTGGACTGCAACAGATGTTTAACACTAGAGCTTAGGACATGCATGCAATATAAGCAGAAGTATCAACTGACTGTACCATTACTAATTGGTGTCCTGGAGGTTTTTTTATCAGCTGTCGCTCTGGGGGGACCGAGTCCTCACTCTTATTCTGGTGTATTTCTGAATCAGAAGTCTGGAGCAGAGGAGAGGGGGGCTGTAGATTTGCATGTGAGGCTGAATCTGGAAAAAACAACAACAACAACAACAACAAAAAAAACAACAGTCGAGAAGAGGTTAATAAAATGGAAATACCTAATTTATAACAAAGAATTACACCAATCGGATGAATATCACTCACCCATGTCATCAAAGATCTTATCAATATCTTGCAGTGTCAACGTACCTTCCCAGTGCTTAGCTGGGCTGAAAAACAAAGGTAAGAATTAAAGGGTAATTCCAAACTGTTGTAATTTCGGTTCTGTGATATCAAATACAAATAAATCTGCAATAGCATGAATAAATCCAGAAAATGAATTTATGAAGCTCATAGATATTAAAACACACACACACACACACAAACGTTTAACTAAAATAAAACAGCTACATTTTAGAAACGTGTTTAAACTTACCTTTCATTGTCAGTAATGTAACAGAGCTTCCTCTTGGGTCTCTTCTGTGAAGAGAAACCAGCTTAGAAACCACTCCAGGATTAAATGAATAACTATGTTGACTTAGCAAACACAGCCCCTGTTCTAATAGATACAAAGGGTCTAAAGAGACAACAGATGTAAGGCTAAATGATCAACTCTCTAAAACTTTACAAGAATCATAACATTCATGGATGTAGTCAAGTTCACTTCAGTTTTGTTTATATATACTGTGACTTCCCAATTACAATAACAAGTATCTCATAAGAGTCTCTGTCTCTGTCCAGATGGTAAAAATAAATCCTACAATATTAAAGAGAACTTAAACAAACAGAGCAAATGCTTGGTAACTGGCAATCCCACATTTGTTTGACCCTGGTTTAAATGAGAAAGGATTGATCTTTTCAGTTAACCCATTTTTGAGGTTCTGCACATTTCCAAACCATCCCAGCCTTGCCTCTCTAACTCAGTTTCCAAAACACTTAACCTGAGCTGTCCCTCACATGTACTCATTTCTAATCCTGTGCATTTTGGTCTCTCCAGTGAAAATCTTAGCATCTAGGCCTGCCTCCTGTTTTTTTTTTGTTTTGTTTTGTTTTTAGTGCCACCTTCTCCAAGCCATGCATCATAGCAGGTATTACTACCATCAACATTTTTTCACTGTTGTTGCTATCCTTCTGTCACAAATCACCCCTAACATTTGTCTCCATCCACTCCACCTTGCATGCACACAGGTGCTGCAGAGATTAAAGAATGCAGTCC